CCCACTTGGGACAAGTCCAAAGGGCCACCTCAGCATCAGAGCTGCCTGTGGAGTCACGTGAGGCCCTGAGTATGACTGCGTCACAGTCCCACACCTTCCTCTGTGTAATCCTCCTCCCTTCTCAGTCATGGGGAGGATCTCAGGATCTTACTGTACCCTAATATCTCTCTGAGTCAACCCACAAGAGTAGTAAGCATCCGAATGACCTAGGGAGACCTCAGCTTCTGGCCAAGATGGAGTAATAGAGACCAGATTCACCCTCCTGCCCGAATCAACAGCAGCAACGACAAAAGCAGAAAAGGCATATGAAACATTGATTGCTCAAGACTCTGCATAAAAGTCAATGAAGGACAGTGATCTCTGATGGACAGGAAACAACCAAGATGAGCCCGTCAATCACCCCAAGCTCACCATCTTGAGAGAGTCTCCAAGTGTTGGAGCAGGGGGCAGTAGCTCAGGCAGAGCCCAATGTACTCCCTGGGTAAAGGAGACAGAGGGAAGAGGCCGGGAGACCAAGGCAGCTATGGAGAGTGAACCCTGGAGATGAGCTGAGGGTCTTTCTTGAGAATTCAGCAGGGAACTGACCAGCTGGATGTGAAGAAACTATTCAAGGATGGAGAAGGGATAATCTGAAAGGATCACAGATGCCTGTTCACACATGCCAGGATGGGGTGTTGGGTAGAGTATTCAGAAGGTAACACCTCAGTAGTGGAAAATAATTAGAGCTAGATTAAATGCTGCTCTGGTCCTGCCTAACGAATGGTAAAAGTGAGACCTGAAAAGATCAGACAGGGGCTTCTGATCAAGATGGTGGAACAGATGGTTCCCAGCATCACCCTCTCCCACAATCAACCAATTTACAACTATTAAAAAGCAACGACAGCCACGCTGGTGCCACTAGAACTCAAGAGAAGAGGAGAAACCTACAGAGTTCATGAAAGCAAGAGAAGCCGCAATGAGAGAAAGAAAGGACTGCTCCAACCATTTTGAGCCTTGGCTGATTCAGGGCTGGAGCTGCTGGGCACATGGAGCAGGAGCTGACAAAAGCCGCAGCTGCTTGGAGGTGGCAGGGGAGAAGAGGGCCTTTGTGGTCCCCAGGTAAGCAAGACCACAAAACAGTGTTCCCGTGGACACACACAGGAGCGAGGAGCCAAAGAGAACAGAAAAAAGGAGACACTCAGAGGCTGGTGAGTCATTGAAAGGGACCAGCATATGGCCTGTCCCATGGGAAGTGTTTGGAGTGTGGGCAGTGGGGGAGACAGGCCATGGCATGGAACATTGGGGCATAGCATGGACAGTTAATCTGCCCTCCAATCAGCGAAAGACCACTCAGAGGAGGCTGGTCAGGAATATAGAACTGCAGGGGAAGCAGTATGCAGAAAAGAATCAGGTCCAGACCAGAGTGTACCCAGGTGCACCGGATCTCACTAGACCCAGAAGTACCTATAAAGTCAACCATTAAAACCTGACCTGCATAAGAAGCCTTCCTCAGGGAATCAGCAGCAAAGTAGCAATTTAGCTCAACCACAGAGTTCAAGAACTGGTCCCCACAGGAAGCTCCCAAGTACACAGAAGAATTGAACAATGTGATTAACCAACAATGTGTTAGGTGTAGGAACACTCCACCTAACAAAGAATACACATTTTTTTTCTACCAAGTGCATTCAGAGCACTTACCAAGATAGACCGTATTCTGGGCTTTAAAAGAAGTCTCAATAAATTTAAAATAATTCAAGTTTTACAAAGTACTGTATATGCTATGACCACAGTAAAATTAAATTGGAAATCAATAACATAATGATATCAGGGAAATTCCAAGTACTTATAGACTAAAAGCACACTTCTGGGTCACACCCTGGGTCAAAGAAGAAATCAAAAGAGAAAGTAGAATTTTAAACTGAATGAAAATAAAAACACACATATCAAAATTTGGGAAATGACACTAAATCAATATTTAGGGGAAATTTATATCTCTAGATGCGTATATTAGAGAACAAAGATCTTAAATCAGTGAATTCAGCTTCCAGTTTAGGAAATTAGGAAAAGAGCAAATAAAACCAAATGTAGGTGGAAAATAGGAAATAATAAATATAAGACCAAGAATCAGTGATAGAGCAAAATCAATAAACCAAAAGCTGGTTCTCTGAGAAGATCAATAAAATCGATATAAACCTCTAAGCAGACTCTCGGGAAAAAAAAGTGAGAAGGCACAAATTACCAATATCAGGAATGAGAGATGACATCACTACAGATTATATAGATATTAAAAGGACGATAATAGATATGCAGATATTTAGAGGATAACATTATGAAAAACTTTATGGCAAAAAATTCAACAATTTAGGTGAATGGAAAAGTTCCTTGAAAGACATAAACTACCAAACTACCAAAGCTCACTCAAGAATGAATGGATAATTTGAATAGCTCTCTATTGAATAAATTGGATTTATAGTTAAAAATCTTACAACAAAGAAAATTCCAGGTTCAGATGGCCCCACTGGTGAATTCTACCAAACATTAAAAGAAGAAATAATATCAATTCTACACAAACCCTACTAGAAAACTGAATAGGACAGACTATTTCCCATATCATTCCATATAGTCAGCATTACTTCAATATCAAAATTAGGCAAAGTCATTACAAGAAATCTTGAGACCAGCATCCCTCACAGACATAGATGCAAACATTTAAAACAAAATTTTAATAAATTGAATCCAACAATGTATGAAAAGGAAAATACACCATGATCAGTAGGGTAATGCGAGGTTGGTTTAACATTCAAAATCAATCTTTGAAACTACAAAACTCTGACTAAAGAAATGAAAGATGTAAATAAATGAAGAGATATTCATGCATGTGGATGGGAAGACTCAATACCGTCAAGAGGTCGGTTCTTCCAAAATTGATCTGTTGGTACAATGCAAAGTAAGTTACAATCACAGCAAGTGGCAATTGACAAACCAATTCTAAAGGTTATATGAAAAAGCAAAACACCCAGAATAGCCAACAAAATGTTGAAGGTGAACAATGTTAGAGCACTGACACTACTTAACTTCAAGACTTACTAAAGCTGTAGGAACCAGGACATGTGGTACTGGCAAGAGAATAGATAGACCAGTGGAACAGGACTAGACCCACCCAAGTATCGTCAACGGGTCTTGGCAAAGGAGCAAAGACAGTTCAATGAAGAAAGGATAGTCTTTCAAGAAGTGGTGCTGGAACAATGGGACATACACATGGAAAAAAAAATAGAATCTAGACACAAACCTTCCACCTATTCAATAGAGTTAGGATAGTCTTTTTAATAAATAGTAGTTGAATAAATGGACATCCATCTACTTCCCTTTCTCCAAATCTAGATACATAAATACACCTTTCACAAAAATTCACTGAAAATGGATCATAGACCTAAATGTAAAACTACACAGACTCATAGATAACACAGGAGTGCATCTAGGTGACCTTGGGTTTGGCAATAACTTTCTTAGACATGACACCAAGAGCACAATCCACCAAAGAAAAATTAAGTTGGACTCATTAAAACCAAAAACTTCTACTCTGGAAAAGACACAGTTAAGAAAATGAAAAGAGAAGAGATATATACACACACCACACGTGTGTATGTATAATGAAACTGATTACTAGTTAGTAGGGGACTGTGTGAGAAGATGCATACATTTAGATGTGACATATCCCTCTGAGGTCATGAACGGGCCGTGTCATCTGCATTCCTGTACCTTCCAGTGCCTGGCACACATTCAGTGTTCACAAAGTAACTGAATGAATGCATGTTTTCCTTTCCTAGGAGGCCACATGACTGATAGTGCCTGTGCCATAGACTGAACCACGAGCGGATCCAGAAAAGGCTCCACCACTAGCCTCTGCTGCCTTTATAGCACTGATCTCTAAACATGGTCTCAGGATTTTCTAAAAAAAATGCTCACCCTCTGTGCTTCAATCTGGCCATACAAGCTACTTTGTTCTTTCTCAGTGAAAGGACCTGCTTGTCTTCTCTTTGAATTTTTGTCCTTTCCCGCTGGTGGGCAGTGACTTTGACCACCTGACCATGGTCCTCCTTCCGTCATCCATCACGTGGAGAGGGAAGAGGTTGATTTTTCCTTCAAGCCACTCTACTATCCCAACTTTTTATTTGGATATATTAAGGAGAGGAAAAGAAAGGTGCGATCTCTAAGTCCCAAGTCACAATCTCACCACGTTCAAGTCCAAACTGGACAAAGACCACTGTTCCTAACTCTGTTAGGGACTTTCTTTCAGGAATGTCCAGGAGACCAAAGCACTGGCACCTCAATGGAGCGACCTCTGTTTGAGTCGGTGTTAAGCACTGAACTGACAGAATTGAAGCTGGTCAGTGGCTGGGTAATAGTGTGCTCCGTGAGAGAAATAAAAGAAGTTACTGAGCATCACAGAATGCTGGCCTGGTGAAAGACCACGAATTTCATCTGATCGAATCTCATTTTTGATAGATGAGGAAGCCAAGGTCCAGAAACTTGGGGTGACTTACCAAGGCTGATTTTCCGACATTTTCCTGAATTGTCCCTCCTCGTCATAGTTGTTCTTTCTTCTTCTGGGATCCCCTATGTACTGAGTGCACCTCTTTTTAGCATGTGTTTGCTATTCCTTCATTAGACAGTGAGGTCTGGGAGAACTGAGTCCTCGACTAAATTTGGGGGTCTCAAGTAGAGGCAAACCCGTAGTAGACGCTCCATAGATGCTCATGTGAGGATGGGAGAGAAGAAAGGCCAGGCAGAAAGAGAAGAAAAAAGGTGTGGGCCCAAAGCTTAGTGACTTGAGGGCTGGCCCGATGGCGCACTGCTACAGTGCTTTAGACAGTGAGGTCTGGGAGAACTGAGTCCTCGACTAAATTTGGGGGTCTCAAGTAGAGGCAAACCCGTAGTAGACGCTCCATAGATGCTCATGTGAGGATGGGGGAGAAGAAAGGCCAGGCAGAAAGAGAAGAAAAAAGGTGTGGGCCCAAAGCTTAGTGACTTGATTTATCGCCAGTGAATATGGTGGTGAGCAGCATGAGAGACCCCAAGACTAGCAAGAAGGGGTACTGCGAGACACAAATCAGGAAGCTTCTTGGGGCTCCTGAGATGGTGTAGGCTTTCCCCTCCTTCTCTGTCTCCTCCTGGATCCATGAAATAAATCGTGCCACAGACACAAACATACCAGGTCTCCCCCTGGAGCCAGATGTTATGCCCCAGCTGAAGACACCCACTTGGAAGAGCCTCTGGGTTCCAAACAGAGCACAGACCATAGGTGCCCCACTGTCTCCCTGGGAATGAAAAAGCAAGAAGGGACAGTCTGCAGGCAATCTCAGTACCTCCAGCAAGAGGAATTGGGGGTGGGGTCCTAATGGTGTGGGCTGGGGGCCTCCTGTGCTCTGCCCTGGGAGACTACAGCATGGCGTGGGGTGCAGAGGAAGGGGCGGGCAGGGACTGAGTACCTGGCAGCTGCCGTAGGTGCCTGGTTCCCTCCAGGCACACAGCATGCTGCTGGGGAGCTGGTCTACTCTCTTGGCGCACTCTCTCTGGCTAATCTGTACCACTCGCAGCTTCTTCAGGTACGTGTTCAAGCCGTCGTCTAGGCCTGACGGAGTGGAGAAGCCGGCGTGAGAATGATTCCCGCATTGGCCACCGACAGCGGGAGTCCTGGAGTCTGCAGATGTTCAGTGAGTCACAGATTCACAGGGTGGGGAAGCCTGAGGTCTCCTAGCAAAACCCCATTCAGTCTCCCTTCCAGTAGCCCCAACTAGGGGTTCCTCTTCTCCATGTGTCTCCCGATGGGAAGCTCACTTCCTCCGAAGCCGCCTGCAAAAGCCCCAGGCCCTGCCCCAGCCCCAGCCCCAGCCAGGGGAACCTGGAATGTGGCCCCGTTGTCTCTCCGTGGCCGGCTTCTGTCCTCGGGCAGAGGTTCAGAACAGCCCCATTTCCAAATTGATAGTATCCCGTGTCCTAGCCAAGCCAAATGGAGAAACCAGGACAAGGACACAGCTGGACATGCCATTTTGTGGGAAGGAAATGACCATGATGCTAGGGGCTCTTGGCCTTCTACCCACCCCACCCCACTCCCACCCTCCCAGAGGTGCTCCCTGGCCCAACGGCCTGTGCCCTGCAGGGAAAGGGTGGAGACGTCAGTGACCAAGCCCAGCTGGAGAATCACTGGCTGAGTTATCTTGGGATGGTGGACTATGCCGTGACGTCTAGCTCAGGGCTGCCCACGAAGGGAAGGCACGTACCATACCCACGAGCCGTTACCCACTCCGCCATCCAACACCGGTCCCAGGCCCCCTCCTTCTCCTGCAGGCACACGGGCCTTTTGAAGTTAGTGAATTCTACTGGTGTGGCCAGCAGGAGCAGACAGAGGTCACTGTTGAGGTGGGGCGGTTCATAATCTTTGTGGATAATGATCTTCTGCACTTGTTTCCTCTCCAAGCGGATGTCTATGAACGTTCTGGTGCCCATGACCACAGTGACATTGACTGGTGCCATTTCTAGTCTAAAGAACGCATACACAAATACACCCATGCAGACAAGTTGCCGTGCATCTCTCATTCGCAGACACGTCTATAAACAGCAGAGGTTACAACCAAATACCAAGAAGTCCATAGGGGTAGGCCTTGAGGACGGCTATGGATCACACAGGTGGGAGCCAGGGGCCCGAATTCAGGCAAACCTCCGAGCTCGTGAATCAACAGCCCGGGGAAACTCCCCCAACTAAAGGAAATGGAGTGAATTCATCCAAGAGGTGAGGGAGGAAGCTCCTTGATGACAGGGAGCTTGGCTGTCTTGTTGACTGCTGAATCCCCAGCATTCAGAACAGTGCACAGCCAATGTGTTCAATGAATGGATCCAGTGTTGTCCTCATTTGCAGATGACAGGCAGGAGAAGAGAAGCCTTGGACTGGTTTTCCAATACTGGGTGCATATAGCTACAACCTTTGAATATGGTAGGTGTGGAGCAGAGACTTTGGGTACAAAGCCCATTGGAACACACTGGGTACAGAGCCCATGGCTTCATAAGCCTTGTGCACCCACCCACTGCGCTACCCAGCCCAGACAACACATTGACAAGACGTGATGTAAATTAAGATAAGTGCCTCCAAAACTTACAGGGTCCTCGGGAAGCAATGTGCAGCTGTCAGGACCCACCACTGGTGGATGATCGAGCCTCCACAGAGGTGTTTCCGAGACATCTGGATACTCACTTGCCACGGGAACTCGCCATTCTGGACATCAACGAGTTCACGAAATGGTAACCATGAGGAGTTTGGAAAGGCAGGTCTGTAGCCACACTGAACTTTTTCTGAAAGAGAAAGGGCGCAGCCATTTGTACACAAGGAGCACAGAGAAATCCTCATCCCGTATTACCAGCATCTTCCTGGCTAAGACCAGTGTCGAAGCAGAGTGAAGGAGCTGAGCAGACCCAGCAGGGACCCAGGTCTCAGAAAACACCAGCAGGTGGCACCTTCTCTAGTGTCTATTCCTCATATCTGAAAAGAGCTGTGAGGTGTGGGGCAGTCGGGGAAGATTTCCGTCAGAAGATATGTAGGGCTGTGTTGCAGTGGGGACACACCCAAGATGTGCAGGGTCCATTCAGGAGTCAAACCATGCAGTGATTTGAACAGGGAACACTTAATGTGAAGAATCACAAACTATAGCTGGAGTAACTATAAAGGATCGTGAGGACTCCACGAATACTGTAGGGCCAGGGGCAGGACATAAGGAAGGGACAAGCTTGGCAGGGGAGCCACTCCCCACGGAGGTGTATTTGCAGCTCAGTGGAGGGCAGAGAACTTTTCTGGGTTGCCCCGGGCCAGAGCAAGTCCCCGTTGCTAGACAAGTGGGAAACACCCCTCTGGAGTACAGGAGGGCAGGAAACTGTGTTCAGGACCGGCCACAAAAAGCACGCCTGCCGGGAGCAGGTGGGCTGATGGCAGCCACAGGCGTGTGGAGGGAGTTAGGCATGTGTAGTGGATTGAATTATGTCCCCCCAAAACTCACTGAGGCTTGAGTTGTGTTCCCCAAGTTTTATGTATTAGAAGCCTAGCCCCCACTGTGACTGTTAAGAGGGTGGGAAATCCTATTATGGTAATTGAAAGGCAGAGCCTTGAAGAGGTGATTGGACTGTAGGACCGTGCTGTAGTGAATGGATTAAAAATGGTGATCAAGGGCATGGTTCTGAGGCTTTAAAAGAAGAGGAGAGTCTGTCTGTCTCTGCTCTCTCTGGTTCCACCATCTTGCAGTGTGAGACCCCTGGGTCACTGTTGCCACCACCAGATGGACTTTAGACTTCCCAGCCTCAGAAACTATAAGCAATAAATTTCATTTTTCTTCACAAATCACCCAGTTTTCAGGTATTTTGTTATAAGCAACATAAATGGACTAATACAGCATGGGAAGTCTGCCCCCGGGTGGGGGGTGCAAGACCCAAGGTATGCATACTGCATTGGGACAGCTGTGGTGAGGAGGTGTAAGATATGACCTTGAGGTGTCAGTTGCACGCATAAGCTTTGTTTGGGTGATGCTTTGGCAGGTTTGCATGCAGGGGAAACACCCCTTTAAAGCATGAGACCATCCAGAGGCTGAGGCATAAGGCCACCATCCGAAAGAGGTGGGGGACAGGGAACTTCTGGGGACAGAAGGGTCAGAAAGGGGCTTACTTGTCTAGGTGATGTTGCTGACCAGCACAGTGGGGGGGGGGGGGCCTCGGGGGGGGGGGGGCCCCGGGGGGGGGGGGGGTCCTCTGGGTCAGATGGCTCCAGAGGGCAGCAGTGAGTTGGGGTCTTTATAGCTGCAGGTTTTATCTTACCTATGGCTAGCAGAGGCTGGGTGCAGTTTCATGGAATATGTGAAGCGGGTAGCCTCTAGATGGCTAAAAGTCTGCTTATTTGGACTATGTTTAAAACAATTGAGTGTGTAAAAGATGAGTTTGGCCCCAGCAAGCTTTTGAGCTAATGGATGTTAGCTTACTGTGAAGAAATAAACAACCTAGGGGCCTGTAGACAGAGGCCGCCTGGGGTTCATTCATATAACAGAAGGTTGCTGAACAGGGCAGAGCTTGAGCTCAACGAGGGACGCATGGCCAGAGCCCAGCCCAGATGGGTGCCCCCCCACTTCGCTGCTGGCAACCATGCCTTAGGAGAAAGAAGCCAACAGAGGCTGCCAGACAACCAGGAGGAAAAGACCCCTTTCTTCTGCGCATGCCTCCAACACCTTCTCCTGAGAAAGCTTGATGCTGCGCTTACTGCAAAGGAAAATCGCTTACAGGGTCCAGCTCCACTATTGCAGGGCAGCTAATGAAGGATGGATCTGGAGCTGAGTGGCAATAAATTGATAACAGGCACAGCAGAGATCCAAAGAAGGCAGATGGGGGTGAGGGTGGCAGTGAGGAGGAGGCACAAAAGTTGTACAGAAGAGACCAGGTCCTGGTGGCCACCCTTCTCTGGCCAATACGCACTCCCTGCAGGAATCCTGGGAACCCAGGAAAATGAGAAGAAATAAAAAGGGATTTGGAACAGAAATATTAAATATACATTCCTTTTTTAAGGAAGGGGGGAGATGGGAAAAGTTTTCTAGATAAAACTCTAATTAGGGAAGTGTTACCCAGACCGAATGGAAAGTCTGAGCAATCGTTTTGCCATCAATTATTAAAAAAACAAAACAAAAAACCTTATAAAGCAATCACTTATATGAAGGAAGATTATGAATCAGAAACTCAAAGAAGAGGTTATAAGAAAAGAGGAAGAGAAAGTGGGAAAACGGGAGGAGATGGGACATAAGCTGGAAGGCACCAAGCTAGAAATGGAAGAATAAAATGACAAATCACTTGAGACAAGATAGTAAGGGACAAGAGGGCACACTTCAGAAAAGTGATGAGCATTGAGTAACACTAAAGAGTCGAGAAGACTGAGCGATTTTGTGTGAATGCCACTTTTCACTTCTCTGGGATACATGCCTAGATGGGGGCTGCTGGGTCACATGGTAAGTGCATGCCCAACCTTTTACAAAACTGTCCCATTGCTCTGCACACGGCCGCACCGTTTTGCATTCCCACCCACCGTGGGTGAGAGTTTCTGTCACTTTGCATCCTTGACGACACTTGGTATCATCTGTGTTTTTAATTTTAGCCATTCTAATAAACCACACGAATGTTTATAGTGGGACTATTGACTGTCCTCTGAAACTGGAAACATGCAGTGGGTGAGAGGGTAAACAAACGGGCACATGCACATGATGGGACACAACACAGCAGTCAAAAGGTGCCTGTGGATACAGGCAGAAGCATGGGTGGAGCTCACATGCATTCTGCTGAGTGAAAGAGTCCAGGTTACACACTGCGTGTGATTCCGTTTGCAGGACATTCTGGAGAAGGCAAATCTACAGGCACAGACAGCAGAGAAGTGGATGCCGGGTGCTGAGAGCCGGGAAGGAGTGATACAAAGGGGCAGACTGAGGAATTCCCTGGGGTGTTGAAATTATTCAGTATCTTGTCTGCAGAGGTGGTAACACGAATCTACAGATGTGTAAACACCATAGAACGGTATGCAAAAATACTAATTGTATTCTATATAAGTTTTTAAATTAATTTTTAAAAGAAAGAAAAATGATAGCTATAGAATATAGGCAATGACTATTCTTACTTTTTTATTATTCAAAATATTTTAACATTTGCTTGGACGTATTTGTGGGGCACAGTGCGTTGTCTCAGTACATGCATATACTGCACAATGATTCACTTAGGGCAGAGAGCATAGTTTGTACCCATTAGTCCACCACATCTCCTCCTCCCACTCCCGTACCCCGGCCTCCAGTAACCATTATTCTACTCTCTCCTTCTATGAGAACCACTTATTTTATTTTATTTTTTTTAGATTCCACATATTAGTGATATCACGTGATATTTTTTGTCTTTTATGTGACTGACTTACTTCACTTCACATGATGGTTTCCAGTTCCATGTTGCTGCAAGTGATAGGATATCATTTCTTTTTATAGCTGAATAGTACTCCATTGTGCATATACCACAGTTTTTTTTTTACGTGTTCATCCATTGATGGGCATTTAGGTTGATTCCATCTCTTGGCTATTGTGACTAGTATTGTGATAAACATGGAAGTGCAGGTGTCTTTTTGATATATTGATTTCATTTCCTTTGGGTATATACCCAGCAGTGGGATAGCTGGGTCATAGGGTAGGTTTGCCTTTAGTTCTCTGAGGAATCTCCATACTGTTTTCCACAGTGTCTGTACCGATTTACATTTCCACCAACATAGTAGGAAAGTTCCTTTTTCTCCAGCATTTGTTATTTTTTGTTTTGTTGATAATAGCCATTCTAAGTGGAGTTAGAGGACATCTCATTGTGGTTTTAATTTGCATTTCCCTGATGATTAGTGATATTGAGCATTTTTTCATGTGCCTATAGGTCATTTGTATGTCTTCTTTTGAGAAATGTCTCTTCAGGTCATTTGCCCATTTTTAAAATTGGGTTATTTGCTTTTTTGCTATTGAGTTGTTTAGGTTGCTTATATATTCTGGATATTAGCCCTGAGTCCGATGTGTAGTTTGCAAACAACTCTCATTCTGCAGGGTGTTTCTTCACTTTATTGATAGTGTCCCTTGCTATGCAGGAGCTTTTTAGTTTGATGTAGTCACATTTGTGTATTTAGTCACCTGCCTTTATAGTCCTGCTCAAAAGAGTGCTGCCTACTCTGGTTTTTGTGTAGTGTTTCCCCTATATTTTCTTCTAGTAGTCTCATAGTTTTAGCTCTTAAATTTAGGTCTTTAATCCATTTTGAGTTGATTTTTGCACATGGTAGGGGTCTTGTTTCAATACTCTGCCTGTGGATATCCAGTTTTCCCAGCACCACTTGTTGAAGAGGCTGTCCTTTCCCCACTGTATATTCTTGGCATGTTTGTTGAAAACCAGTTGGCTATAAATGTGTTGGTTTATTTCTGGACTCTCTATTCTGGTCCATTGGTCAATTTGTTTTTATGCCAGCACCATACTGTTTTGGTTACTATAGCTTTATAGTATATTTCATGGGTTTTGTTTTGCTTTTTATAGTATATTTTGAAGTCAGGTAATGTGATGCCTCCAACTTGTTCTTTTTGTTTGATTGCTTTAGCTATTCAGGATCTTTTGTGGTTCCATACAAATTTTAAGATTTTTTTTTCTTTTTCTGTGAAGAATGTTATTGGTATTTTGATCGGGATTGTGTTGAATGT